TTTGCGATATCACTTAATACCTGCTCAGGTTCCGTGCTCGAGCAGAGTCAACAATAAACCTTTTTTAATTTGCTGTGCAAATAATAAGGTGTATTGTTCCGGTCAATAGTTTAGTACATGCAAATATTAACTTAATAGAAACGCTGGTCAACGCGCGTGTGTCTCACTCGGCGCAAGGTTCTCTACTGCATATGCTTTTTTTCTTAACTGACATTCATTTTGGGCGTCCCAAAAATAATCGGAGTGCGTGTGCCTAAGGGCTGGCAACGTGCGCTTACGAATAAATAATTTTTAATGTGTTTTATTATCTACGATCGCTCAGAGCAAGAAGATAGTGGTAAACATTAATCATTACTGAAAAAGCTTAACCAGTAGGTTAGAACGTTGGACAGGGATGCACAAGGTAGGCATTAATGTACGTCAGAATTAGACTAGGATTGACATCAAATTACCTACAACATTACTCCTACCGTGTAGGCTGTAGGAAAAAGCACTCTAAGATGACCTTAAAATCTCGTCTACTTAAGAAAGTGCTTCAAAGGTTTTACTCCGTGTTGGGCGTTTCTTTTAGACAGTCTGCATGGTCATCGTCATTTTCATAGTTAGTCGTAAGAGAAGGTTTAAAAAGTCAAATATCGACTCTGATTTAGGTAAGTTTACAACAACGTTATTTTAACAAGTCATTCTCAGCGTATAGCCCACCTGCCAGATACAAGTTATCAGTTTAGGCAAAGAAAAGGTTCCATGATATGAGTGACAAGTTCGCTTTGGAAATACTACCGGACATAAATCATCTGCAACTTCAGCATATTTTTTTCGGACCAACGTAAGAGTGCGATAGAGAGGAACAGCGAGATAACAAACTAATAAAGGAGAACGTTAGCGTTCCAGGTATTTGCATCGGTGAAGAGGAAAAAGGGTCGAGCACCGGATCACGTTGCTTATTATTCTGAGCTTTCGAAATCTTACAGGAGTCCATCGTCAGAGATAGGAAACAGCAACAAAGGAAGGGCTAGTTGTAGTGTATGTACACCGATCAACTGTCCAGGGTCTTACTCATCATTACCTGATGACCCTGGAGAGTTGATTGGTGTACATACACTA